GAGGAAGGTCGTCCGGCTCCCATCGGCACAGCGATACTCCGCAGAAGAAACACCTGGCGTTATCTTCGAAACCCCCGTAGAAGAACCCCGCTTCCGACATCGACCTTCCGTCGGGTCTGTCGTGCGGCAAGTTGCGAAAGGTTTTCACCCTGTCTTCCTCGTCTTCAAATTTTGGAAAGGTAGCGGTTCTCTGCATAATTTCCTTTGGCATTACCTACTGATAATAGACAGATTTCGAATGAAGACAAATATGCACAATAACAACTTTATATTGTTTTTTGTAATAAAGATTTTATTGAAGACAAAACAGAACATAGGATTTCGTGTTTTTCTTTTTTTTAGTACTTAATATATCGGAACATTTTTTTTTAAATTCTATTCCGAAGACGGGTTGTACTTCAACATTTTCGAGAACAGCCAGTCGTCCAGTTGCTGTTCCAGTTCTTCGTCTCCTTAAACGACCGTGTCTTGGTCGGAAATGTCCTGTTCGCCCGACGATTCGACTGGAAGCTGAGAATCCTCCGGAAAGTAGTCGGCGAGGTTTCCTTCTCCGGCTGTTCGTTCGTCGTAGACGGGAAGTTGAGAGTCCTCGGGAAAGGATTCCGTTAGGTTTCCTTTGCCATCTGCGGTCTCAGCTTCTCTTCGTTCGTCGCCGACTCCAACAGTTTGGGAGGTGCTTGCGTCGTCGTCGTCTTCGTCGTCGAACTTGATCCTTTTGGAATAAGGAGCATCCCACTGAAGAAAAAAATAAAAAAATAAAAATAAAAATAAAGGTAAAATTACATCACGTCACACGTTACGTCCTCTTTGAAAAATGACGTCCTGGTCCTTGTCGCTCGAATTGTCGTCGTGGTCGTCGTTGGCTTCGTCCTTCTCGCCTCGTTTGTCGCCGGATCGCAACAACCTGACTCCTTTCCGCGAAAGCAGGAAACTCTGGAGAACGACCACGACGCAGAACCTGATGGCCTGCGAGGCGGTGAGAACGATCGCCCAGTGTCGTCCGACCTTGTTGATCGGACAGTCGGCGGCGTCGATGCTGTTGGTGCTGAGGTCCAGAAGGTTTTCGTAGCAGTCGCCCAAGGACGTATCGCACTCCATCACGTCCCGACCGTCGAAGGCGCACGGCCCGAGTTTGTAGACGAGCACGTTTCTGACGAGGTCGACGGTGGCGATCGCAACACTGGCCAGAGACTCCGCCTCCCACACGTCGGAGAGCGATGAGTACCTGGAGATCGCGGCGGCGAACACGAACACGTGCACCACGTATTCCGAAGACAAAGGGTAGACGATCGCTCCTGCGAACACGTCCACAAGCAGGGTAGCCACGACGATCGGAATGCCCGCGTTTCTGTACCACCCCAACCGCTGCCGCTACGAAAGCCATCGGACGAATTGGTTATGTGCAGCAT